GGCACGCGCGGGGCCTCGGCGGCGGAGCGCGAGGCGGCCGGGCGCCCTGGGCCGGGGCCCGCGCACGGAGCCGCAGCGGCACAAGCTGATGAGCGCAGCGAAGGCCACGGCCGCGTAGGTGGCCGCGTAGTAGGCAGCCCCGGCCGCGCGGCAGGCGGCCTCGGGGAAGGGCCAGTGGGCCGGGCCCAGGTAGTAGGTGAGCCAGAGCGGCAGCGTGAGCGTGAAGAGCACGTCGGCCAGGGCCAGGTTGAGCAGGTAGAGCCGCAGGGCCTGACCCAGGCGCCGGCCGCTGCGGACAAACACCGCCAGGGCGGCCACGTTGGCCGGCAGCCCCAGGCCCAGAGCCATGGCGTAGGCCGCGGGCACCACGATGAAGCGAGCAGGGTCATCCCAGGGGCTGCAGCCGCGGACACCCGGGTCCCCAACACTGCCGTTCATCTCAGACCTCGGACTAGGGAGAGGAAGAGAGATCAGTGCGGAGGCTAGCCACAGAACAGTCCTCTATACCACCTTCCTTCAAGCCCAGCCTCCTCTTCCTCAGTCCTTGCTGGGAGGAGAGCCTAGAAGCAGGGAAGTCCATGTGGGCGAGGATGAAGACTGAGCTGAGCCGGCACCCCCGGGGCTGGAGAACAGGGGATGAACTCCAGAGTCGTTTGAAGTAGGATGGGCTTGCTGACAAGCTGCGGGGAAATGAGGAAGAGGCAGGAGTCCCAGATAGCTTGGAAATTTCTAACCTTGGTGACTGAGAGGGTGGGAGCGCCCCTCACAGATGGAGTAGGGTTCAGATAATGTGGAGGCAGAGGCATGTGCAGTAAGCCCAAGCAAGGCTGAGCCAACAGAGAGTTCTGGAGAAACCAGACTGGAATATAGAGTTCTTCCCAGAAGAAGCCCAGTCCTCCCTCCTCCATGAACCGTGGATGGAGGAACAGGCTTATGATGCAGTGACCCTGAGGACAGGGCCCTGCATAGCGACCTTGGACTTGAGGAGCGAAGGTCCTCTCCAGGGGCTTGCTTGGAGCCCCTGGGGCAGGGAGGAAAGGGTCTCACAACTCTCAGGCTTTCCAGCCTATTTCCTTCCCCTGCACCCGGATCTGACCACAAAGAAGTCCTGGGTCTGAGTCAAAACTTTGGACAGCAAAGAGAAAAAGAGCACAGGCCCAGGAAGCAGGCAGATTCTAGATACACACATTTATTTGCCATATGACCCTGGGCAAATTACTCCGCCTCACTGAGCCAGGCTTCTCTGCTGTAAAATGGAGATTCAAATACCTACCTCACAGTGTTGTTGGGAGGATTATGAGGAAACATAAGTAAAACTCTGAGCACTGTGGCTGACACTGGGGAGACACTTCATAACCATTAGCTCTCTTCCCTTCCAGGCAGCACGCAGATAAATGTGCACACCACCCACACAGGCACTGGCAGCAAACAAAACAGCGCAGAGACATCTGGGCGTGTTCCTCTTCTTTCCCCAAGGGGGGTAAGTGCACAAGCCAATGTCCTGTTCCTATTTTTGGCATCGTCACCCTCCTAGGGTGTCCCAAAACTTAGTTCCTCCAATACCAAAATCCGTACTTGTGCCTTTGAACCTCTGAGGCTGCAGTCCTTTGTGGGGGACCCTGAGTGTATTCTCTTCTCCCCTGCCTCTCGGCTCTGTCTGCTCTGTCCGCTATGGCTCTAGCCCCCAACTGGCCCGCCCTGAACCTCTCCCTGCCATCCCACCAGATCACTCCTCTCTTACCTCTTGCTGTTCTGGCTGCTGCAGCAATCTCTGGGGCTCTGGGGGCCTGGCTTTAAGGAGCTGAGACGGAGCAGAATCCACTCCCACCCACACATCTCAGACCCTCCCATCAGCCGACTAATCCCAGGACACCACGTGAAGAATGGGCCCAACAGCTGGAGGGGCTGGGGCCCACCTGTGGTAGCTATGAGCTGGGTTTGTGGGGTACAGCCAGGGCCCCAAGGGAAGGGAATGTCTTTGAGGGCAAAGGGGCACAGGGAGGAGAGAAAGGTCTAAGGAAGGCCTTGCAGCTGAATGTCATGGTGCTCCAGGGTGCGGTTTGGGGGGCACATTTCCCTGAGGCCTGGCTTCTCCTTGGGCTGAGGAGGCAATGCTGGAGCTCAGGATACTCCTGCTGCTGTCAATCCCAACTGCTCCACACCAGCTGACCCACCCTCTCCTCCAGCACGCTGCCTCGGCCACAGCTGCTGGGCGGGCCCTACAGCCAAGCCTGGGGGCCCCAAAGCTGCCCAAACTGTGGCACACAGGAGCCCTCGCTCTAATACCAGCTGGGCGAGGTTTTCCTCACAGTCCTGGCTGGAGACCAGCTGGCGTCGCATCCTGGAAGGAGTGGTAAGAGGCCAGGATCCCAGAGGCTCCAGGTTCTACTTTCTTGGGCTTCAAAATTTTCATGCGGAGGGGCAATTCTGGAAAGCAAGGCAGATTTAATCACGGTGGACAGATCATCCCATTTACTTTGTTGAAGAGAGCAGGGGTGTCATCCCTGCCCACTTTCGACTTGGGCAGCTGGTGCGGTGGAAAGTGTGGGTTCTGGAGTCAATCAGGCCTTAATTCTAGTCTCAGCTCTGACAGGTAGGCACTTAAGCCTTCTGAATGCATTTTCTCATCTGTAGAACAAACTGCTATTTAATAACAAATGCTATTTAATAATAGCATTTACTGAGCACTTATTATGTGCCAGGCAGCACCGTAAGCCCTTTAGCTCACTAAGTTCTCCCAGCAACTCTATGAAGTATTTACTATTATTATCCATATTTTGCAAATAAGCTAGTGAATGGCAGGAATTTACCCCCTCCATTCTTTGCCGACCAGGGTGCCCAAACCTTAACTAGTTTAAGTCCATTCTCCTTGCCAGTGGTGGGTCTAGGAATAGGAATGGGACATAATCCTGGCCAGTGGGATGTGAGGGGAAATCTGGGGCTCTTTTAAGAGAGCTTTCCTCTCTTTTTTTCACCTATGGATGTTATGTGCAAATGTGCTGTCTGGAGCTGCTGCAACTATTTTGCAACGCCGAGGGCAGGAGCCAATAAATTAAAAGCAGCAGAGCAGAAAGTTGAGAGAGAGATCATCAGTCTTTGATGTCATTGCAAAGCAGCCAAATTACCCAACCTGGAAACTGAAGGTATATCTCTGGACCTCTGGGAAAGAAGAGGCTTCCTGATTATTTGACACTCTATGTGGTGAATGTACACTACTACATTTTTTATATGTACTTTACATATACGGCTTATCTTTCTGTACTACTAGATGTACCAGTGTGTGTGTGCACATACACACACGCTAGATTGCATCACTGTGCTTTCAGACACAAGAAAAGACCTAAGGGTACCAACTTGCCTGAGGTTCCCAGTTCATCCATGTCAGAGCAGAACTTACCATTCTGGAGTTCAGATGAAATGCACTACTGTGCACAGACTCCTTTCATTTCTGTGGGCTCCCAAAAGCCATTGTCCCTACCCCCAAAGTGACCCGTAGGCAGGTGACTAGAGTACTTGCATAAATAAACCCTTTTCCTATCTTCCATTATGGGAGGCATATCACTTTCCACAAGGCCCTACTGAGGTGAAGATAGTTGATGAGAGTAAGGACTCTAACATGGTCATTTTCCCTCAATAATTCACACACGCACACCCGGTTCTGAGTCCCTAGGATCTCTGGGATTCATCCCAGGCTCCCAGCACTGCTTTCCCATGCAGCGTCCCTTGGAGCTGGCTGTCCTCTGCCTCCACGTAGATATCCAGGAAGCACCACCGTGGGTGCCCTACCTCACTATCAAAGGTGGCAGTTTCAGAGCCTGGAAAACGATGATGCTGTGCCCATCTTTGTTAGCTCTGCACAGCTAACGTGCACAAGGTAAAAGAATAGGAAGGAATATCTCATGTGGCTTGGAAGAACCCGGGCAGAAGCAGGTACCTGGACTCTGCCATACTCAATGTGTAAATTTTAAGTATTTCATAAAAATTTTAAAAATGTGAGTGCCTTTTGAAGCAGCATCCTCACTTCTAGGGAAAGACAGGAAGTATGCAAAGGTGATTTACTATGAAATTTACAACAGCAAAATGGGAGGCAATCTAGGGTGCCTGTGTGGCTCAATCCATTGAGCGTCCAACTCTTTTTGTTTTTTGGGGTTTTTTTTAAGATTTATTTGTCAGAGAGAGAGCACAAGCAGGGGGAATAGCATGCAGAGGGAGAAGCAGGCTCCCTGCTGAGCAGGGAGCCCGATGCAGGACTCGATCCCAGAGCTGAAGGCAGATGCATTAATGGACTGAGCCACCCAGGTGTCCCACATCCGACTCTTGATTTCAGCTCAGGTAGTGATCTCAGGGTCATGAGATCAAGCCCCATGTTGGGCTCCTTGCTGGGGATGGAGCCTGCTTAAGATTCTCTCTCTCCCTCTCCCTCTGCCCCTCCCCACCCTCTAAGACAATAAGTATGCAAAGGTGATTTACTGTGAAGTGTACAATAGCAAAACACTGGGGACAATCTAAATGTTCCTCAGTGGGGGCTTGAATAAATACATTACAGTACATCCTTATGATGGAATACTATACAGCCATTAACATCAATGAGGTAAAACAGACATGGAATGGTCTTACAGTTTATGAGTTTTCAAAAGCAGGTAATAATTTATATTGTCTCATTTTCATTAAGAAATATCTGTATAAAGGCATAGAAAAAGTTGAATGGTACAGTTATTAAAAGGAATTAATAGTTATTTTGGTGCATTAAAATTTGGGGTGATTTAAGTTGCTTTTCTGTTTATTTTCTACTTTCACATGACATGAGGAATGTTAGTATATTTAACATGTATCCCTCAAAAAAGAGCAGTTAAATGTCCATGATATGTCCAGATAGAAAGCAGGGTCAGGTAGATAAGATGTCTACTTCAACACGGGCCAACCCTGGACGTACTGGTAACAAGCTGGTAGACTGTGTGTTCCACCATGTTCCTGCCGTGACAGTGACATGGCATGAAGAGGCAAGAGGCCCTCGACTCCCAGGATTCCTTGAATGCACTTGGAAGAGTCTTCTTCCTGGTGGGCCTGACCACCTCCTTTGGACTCAGAGATGGCAGACATCCAGAAGCTGCAGAAGCCCCAGGCAGATGATAGGTGGGATGTAGGTGTTCAGCGACTCTTTCAGAGATGCCAAAGTGAAGATAGCCCCTGGAATGGAAAGTGAGGTCCCTCAGGCTCCCTGACCCACTCCCACTCCAGCTCAAGCCCTCCCATTCAACACCTCCCTACCACACACACACACACCCTACACTAGCTGCACTCATCTCTGGCCTCCAGAAGAGAACAGAACCAAGAATCAGAAGGCCCCTGAACTAACGTAGCCACGCTCAGAGGGTGAGAAAGAAATAGGAACAAGCCTGCCGAATAGAAGAGGGAGGTGGGTAGATGGGCATTTTGGAACAACCTTTGCTCCTTCTCCCTTCTTAATCCTACTGGAGAGGTGGTGGCCCCAGGGCTTAGTGGTGGAGGTATGGGCAATGAAGATGAGGGAAGCTCCAGAGATAGAAAGGCCTGGGGGAGGGGCGGCAGGCGTGGCCGCCATGGTGACCCAAGGCCAGGGGGTAGAGCCAAGCCTGAAGACGTCTGACCTTTGGAAAGCAGCAGCTGTCTTTGTACGTCAGCAGTTCCTGTGGGCAGAGCAGCTAGGAGGGGTTCCTCTAGGACTGCCTGTCACAGGGAAATTCTCTGCCTTTCTGTTCAGGGGGCCGGCCCAGCTTCCTTGCTCTCTGTTCCCACCTGCCAGACACATAACTCCACAGGCAGCTGCTACTCCATCCCCTCGGCTCAAGGGTAGGGGTGAGGAGGGCGGGGTAGGGGCTTTTAAGTTACAAGACATCCTTACCATGGGGATACCCTGCAGCCAATTGCAATCAGTGAGGCGGGAAGTTATGTTTGACATAGAATCATGTTATGGTATATTAAGTTTAAAAAGCACCTGTCCTAGTCTGAAGAAAGTGGAAACTGCAGGAGAGCAGGGAGTGCTCCTGGTTCCAGAAAAAAAGGAAAGGAGGCAACAGTAAAGGGAACTGCCAGATCTTCTATTACCCTCTGCCAGAAGTCCCCCTCTCCCCAGCGCAGTTGCACCCCCTTACCCATCATGAGCAGGGTCAAAAGCAAGTTACTGATCTCTCGCAGCATCGGTGGGCCCAGGACCAGCAGCAGCCCAGCCAGCAGTTCCAGCCAGCCCACAGCCTCTTGGTAGTTCATGGGATCGGGCTGGTAGCCGAACACCTTCAACGGGAACACCTCAGCAAACTGCACAAACAGGGCTTTCTAGGGGCGGCAAGGAGAGCCTGTCAGCCCCACTCAGGGATCCACTGCCTAGGCATTCCACAGGGGCATTCTGTGTCTGCACCCTCAACTCCCCCGACAAAGGAGCTACCGTTCTAGGTTGGGTCAGGTCCAGGGCTGAGGTCCATCTAGAGAGGAGAGGGCCTCCCTGAGGGGCTGAGCTTTGGAATCAGTTAACAGGCTTTATGCTCCAAGGAGAATGGCTGGATGTTGGTGCAGAGGAGAACTGATTTTCTCACCAGATTCTCATTGGATTACACCCCAGCCTTTGCAAAGTCCAAGGCCAGGAAATTAGGCGTACCACAGCTTCTCTTTCTTGCTGCCTGGCCTGGTTTTCCTGACGATACTATGCTGGGAATATTGGGAGGTGGGGGAGAGGATGAGAGAGTAGACTGTTGCTTATTCAACAGATCCCATTCTGAATATGGTATGCTGGGCCTGCGCCCCATTGCAGTAGACACAAGGGGGGGTAAGGAGCTCAAAGCCGCTCATCTTGCTGAGTCAGGCTCTGCTGTGGGCCCCACGACAACTTCACCCTCACCTTCTCGCCCTTACTCCCCACCTCAGCTCTACCTTCCCTACTCTGCTGCAAGGAAGCAGCTCTACGCTGTCTGGCTCTGGGGATGTACTTCCCCAAACCATCCACCACCCGAAACCAGGAAGGAAGGGCAGAACCCAGGTCTGGGAGAAGGAGGCTGCAGGGTCTCCAAGTCTGGCTTGAGGGGCGGAGGGATTGGTGGGCATAACCACAAGAAAGCTTTTCCAAGAGTCTGGAACTAGCCAGGAGACAGAAGGAGGGCTTGTAGACTTTCCTCTCAGGCTCCCCGGTAAGGGCTCTCCAGATTCTGAGTTAGGAGAGGCTCCTGCGTCTTGACTAGCTGTGTAACCTTTAGCAGATATACTTCACCTTCAGGGCGAGTTTCCTACTCCACCAAGCGGGGAATAATAAACCCGTTCCTCACGAACCTCTCAAGAACGCAAGCAAGCGGAAGAGGAGAAGGGGACGGGGAGGGTGCTGGGTCCCCCATTCCATTCCATCTTCCTCCCGCTGCGTCCCGACGCCCTAGGTTGGCGCGGGGCCCCCAGGGCTCAGCTGGAAGGAGATCGGCCCGGTCCCCTTCAGTCTAGGCAAGAGCCGGAGCACTCTAGGAAGGCGCCCACGTCTCGGTCGACGTGCTCTCCCTGCCCCCGCTCTAGCGCCGTCTCGCCGGAAGGCAGGCAGGTCCGCGGGGGACTGGCTCGGGCAGGCGGGCAGGCGGGCTGGGGACTGACCGCGGCCGCCCGCCCACGCCCCGCCGCTCACCATCTGCTGGGACGCGGGAGCCGAGATCTGCTGCGAAAGCTTGGCTGCCCCCGTGAGTGCGAAGAAGCCGCCCAGCAGAAGGCGCAGAGCGCCGAGCCCGAGCGCCATGGCCGCGCAGGCCCTCCGGGAGCGAGGAGAGGGAAGGGCGGGAAAAGGAAGGAAGGGGAGGGGAGGGCAGGGGATGGCAGGACATGGCAGGACAGGGCAGGGCAGGAGAAGGGAGGGGAGGGGAGACCCGGCCGAACCCCGCCCCCTGCCGCCGTCTCGGTTCCTCCCTCCCCAGGGCGGACAGAAGACCCGCGCCAGAGCCTCCGGCTCCTCGCCTCCCGAGGCTGTTGCCACCCCCTTTTCTGTCCATCTCACAGATGGCGACACTGAGGCCCACTGGCTCAACTGACTAAACGGGTCCCTTTGAATTCAGGGGAAGTCTCTTGTCTCCCAACCAGTACAGAGTCAAGTCCAACAGGAGTATCTGAACGTGCCTCGCAGAAGACCGGGGTTTCCTTCCCGCCTGAGCCTCCCTAGCTTTGCCAGCACAACGGCCACCTAACCTCGATGGGCCTCAGTATCTGCCTCTGTAAATGCGGATAAGCCTCTTAGTTCTGAAGAACAGGCCTAGCACAATGCCTGGCACATGTAAGAGCTCAAAAGTTATAAGTTATGAAATCATTAGTAATCAGTAACAAGTAGCTACAAATTGTTCTTTTCTATCTTTGCGTAAAATATCTTTTCCTTCGAATTTCTCTCAGCTGAAATTAAAATGTGAAAAGCGTTTAAAAATTCAGACACTTGCAGCTGCGGGAAGAGTGACTTCCACGGAACAAAACTCTAGAGGCCACTCCTGGCCCATCTGCTATTACCTGGAGATCTGTCTACACCCAGATGGACAAAGGGTGGGCCAAATTATTTAGTCAGCTGTCTGGTTTTTTTCACTTCCTCGCCCTCCCCAGCTAACAATGTTTGTTTACATTTTTTAATGATACAAAAAAAATTTAAAGGCAGCTCTCATGACACATGAAAACTGTATTATTTCAATGTTCATAAATAAAAAGTTGTATTGAAACAGCCACACTCGTTTGTGTACTGCCTTCAGCTGCTTTTGGGCTGCAACCGCAGAACTGAGTAGTTGCCACCATATGGCCTGCAAAACCTAAAATACTGACTATCTGGCCTTTTATGGAAAACGTTTGCCAAGCCCTGGTGGAGAGGGCCACAGAGACCCCTACAAAGGGTCTCAAACTCTGCTGCTTCCATTACTGGGTTAGCCAAGCAGCTCGGATCTGGGTTTTGTACCTACCCACAGCCTGCTGGGGTGGGGGTGCTGCCTGGCTGAAGACTGCAATGTCCCATGTGTTTCTAAAGGCCAAGCGGTTTCAACATCCAGGTGTGCCCGTACATTATAAACAGGCCTTTTGTTACCCTCATTTTTGTCCCTAATCCAGATTATCCAATCAATGGATCAAACAGCTAAATTCTCTACCTTGGACTAATAAAATTATATATAACAATTTATAAATGCATGATTATTAAATTCCTCAACAAAAAGAAAAATTACTAAAACACTTATTTAATCACTGAAAACACATACCCACATTAGGAAATATTTTAGGGTACTTATAGAAAATTTAACACAAAATTATAGACTGTGATAATAAGCAATAGCCATGTTACTATTCTTTCTCTTTTACTAATTTTTCTATCCTTGGAATTAAAGATGTGACTGCAAGTCTTAGAGCAGGACCAGAAACCAACAGATTTCTTTGTTTTGACTCCGTCAAAGCGGAAAATGTAGCATCACATAAATAAATAGTTGAAAAAGGCAACAAAAACTTCATTGCCTTTTCATGGAGCTCTGGGTAACTTGTCTTTGCATTTATCCAAAACTGAGTTACAGACATTGATTTAAATACTGATTGTAATTCCAAATCTGAAGATAACTGTACTAGTTTTTCTTCTTCAAAGTCTGTGAGATTACTATTTTGGTGATTCATAAAAGGATTAATTATCCACAAATTTCCTGAACGCAAGTCGTCTTCTGGTGGATAACAGTCATGGAACATTTGAGAAAGTCCTTCCAGGTGCTCAGAAATAATGCTTGCAATGCCTCTCATATTTAAGTCTGATGAGTTTAAGAATTCGGAAAATGAAGGGAACATGTCATAATCATTCTCTTGTGTGCGCTTCAACCACATTTTTAACTTTTCCTTAAATATATCCATTTTATTATACAAATTGAAGAGAGTAGTCATAGTTCCTTGGAGACTTGAATTGAGTTCATTTATAAGTGAAAAAATATCTGATAAATAGGCCAACTTTGCAACCCATTCCTCATCAAGAAAATATTTGGCCAAATCTGAATGGTTTTGGTTTAAAAAAATTTCAATTTCATGTCGTAATTCAAATAATCTTGTTAAAATTCTCCCTCTCGATATCCAGCGTACTTCAGCATGAAGTGGTAAATTCACATGCTCAGACCCCATTTCTTCACACAAAATTGTTAACATTCGTGAATTCAATGCATTGCTCTTTATAAAACTTAAAATTTGTGCTGACTGCAAAAGAATTTCATGTAAGCATGGAGACAACTTTGCTGCTGCTAAATGTTCACGGTGAATAAAACAGTGTGTAAATGCCACTGTATCTGTGGAAATTTCTTGAATTTTTGCCCTGAAACCAGAACACCTGCCAGTCATGCTTGCCACCTCATCTGTACAGAGACCAACACAATGTTTCCAATTCAGAGATTTACTGTCAATGTATTTATTTATTAGTTCAAATATTTCAAAGCCAGTTATTTGAGAAGGCATTTCAATGCAACATAGTAATTCTTCTTTTATATCACTGCAATCATAATCAATGAAACGAATATAGCACAAAAGAAGGCTGATATTTGAGATTTCTGATGATTCATCTACCTGAAGGGCAAACCACTTGGACTTTCTGACTTTTTGAATCAGCTGATCTTCAATGTCTGCAGACAGTTCATCAATCCTGTGTCCAATTGTATTATTAGAAAGAGGAATGGTTTTCATTTTGTCTCCAGCACTTGAACCCAAAACTTCTGAACACATCTCTACTAAATATGGTTTAATTAATTCTTCAGCAATGGAGAACGGCTTCTTGCTGGCAGCAATTTGAAAAGCAATTAAGTAAGAAGCTTTCACAAGTGACTTTTCAACTAGTAAACACTTTTTTAAAGAACTATTTTGACATTCCATTTCAAGAGATTTTTGTTCAAAAAAATCTACTGGTTTGTTTTCTAATTCTGAATGTTTTGTCTTCAAATGATGAGAAAGATTTGCTGGCTTCATGTTTTCAGTGGATAAAATTTCTCCACAAATGACACATTGTGGCCTTGGTGAACTTTCTTTTGATCCTGGACAGATAATAAAACCAACTTTTAAATATTCCGCATCATAAGTCTGGAAAAAACCTATTCTTTTTTTCTTTGGAGGTGGAGACTCAAGTTCCGCATCATGTTTCTCATTAGGCATAGGGAAATCTGAATAAAATATTTGAATCACTGTTATTTTCAAGAAGAAATAAGCCATATTATGTTTTCCCCCACACATTTAAAATTTATATTTCATTACTATTTATATTTGTCAAAAGAATACACTAATTAAAGTTGAAACCCAAACCATGATACTTCCATGGTGCCGTTAAAAACTGAATTTCTCCTTGCCCAAAACTTGGCCACTAACTAAAGCAAAACTGTAGACTGTAGTACATGAACTAGCAATGCTATGTATTCCATAGGTTACTGGAATAAGGGCTGAAGTCCACAGGATACATCAAATTAAAAACAAATTATTTTATTTTTAAAATTTTCAGAAAAAAGGGAAAACAAGTTTCAAAAAGTTAACATCTGGTGAATTGAGATGAAGGATATATTAATGTTCATTGTACCATATTTTCAATCTTTCTGAATTCTGAAATTTTTCCAAATTAAAGTTGAGGAAAAAAATAAAGGTTAATTATTAGAATACCCAGTGTCAATGAGGGTAAAGAGAAATGGATGTTCTCAAACACTGATATAATTTTTCAATTTTGTAACACATACCAAAAGCCTTAAAAGTCTGATAGCTTTTGAATTTGAAATTCTACTACTTAGGATTCATCCTAAGGACATACTTAGACAAGTGAACAAAAATCCACTTACACAACCTAACACTGTTTATAATATTAAATAACTAAAAGCAATCTCAATGTCCAGTCTTAGGGGGATGGATACGTTGTAATCTATGCATCCGTTAAGAATCTCAGTGTAGGGGCACCTGAGTGGCTCAGTTGTTAAGCATCTGCCTTCGGCTCAGGTCATGGTCCCAGAGTTCTGGGATCAAGCCCCGCATCGGGCTCCCTGCTCACTGGGAAGGCTGCTTCTCCCTCTCTCACTCCCCCTGCTTGTGTTCCCTTTATCACTGTCTCTCCCTGTCAAATAAATAAATAAATAAATAAATAAAGAATTTCAATGTATATTTAAATTTATATTGATATGGAATACTTCTGATGAGCACTGTCAAATGAAAAAGTAGTTCATGACAGTGTATTTTAAACAATCCAATATTTAATCTAGAAATTTAAAAAAATATATATAAGCACACACATACCCACACATATGGATGTCCACAGATCCTTTACTACCTTCCACATGTGAATGTGTATATAATATAAATTCATGTACACAAAGAATATATCATTTTAACAGGAATATAAAACAATCAAATTTACTTTGGAAGGAAGACAGGATTCTCCTTGACTCCTACCAAAAGAAAGGCACCCTACATAAAAACTCATGATTACTTGCTGACAGACTATGCTTTTAAATACAGTATATTCTGGGTAGTAAAATTATCATTAAAAACAAAAATCAAAAAATGCTTTGGGCAGAGTAGGCTACACAGCTAACTGAAAATATAAGGGTAGTGGCAGTTAACGTGGATTGGGGCAATAGTTTACAACGTTTCCAAGTATGAATTAAAATAATTTTCCTGATCACCAACACCTCAGACACATAGTTATACTTTTAGTAAATGACAAATCAATTCACAGTGTTTTTAAAAAAAGAACTAAGGTTAAATCACTAATGCTTTTTTTTTTAGATCACTAATGCTTTTAAATAAATTTGTAACTTAGTAGTTGTAATAGTTTGTCTGTACATTTGAAA